TTGAAGTACATCTTCACCCAAAGAGATCTAAAGTCATATAAAAGGAGATGGTTAGAATTTGCAACAGACTACGACTTAGACATACAATATCATGAAGGGAAGGCAAATGTAGTCGCAGACGCTCTAAGTCGTAAAACCAACCATGGATTGAATTCTTTGATAGTGGCTAATGAATTATGTAAGGAAATGAGCAAATTGAACTTAGAAGTGATAGAATGGGGAGGGCCAGCAGGTATACTTGCGAATCTAAGCATTCAAACAACAATATTCGATGAGATAAGAGAAAATCAGGCAGGAGATGTAAAGTTGGATAGGATTCGTGAGAAAATAAAGCAAGGAAAAGCTATAGATTTCAAAATTCATGAAGATGGGAGTTTAAGGTACAAGGATAGATGGTGTGTACCACAAAAATGTGAGGAATTAAAGAAATTGATGGAAGAAGGGTACAATACACCATACTCAGTGCACCCTGGAGGGGACAAGTTATATAAAGACTTGAAAATGTATTGGTGGCCTAGAATGAATAATGAAGTTGCGGAATTTCTAGCAAAATGTCTAACCTGTCAAAAGAGGAAATTAGAGCACAAGTGACCACAAGGAACCATGCAATCATTAGAAGTCCTTGGATGGAAGTGGGATTGCATTTCAATGGACTTTGTGACTTGCCTCCCAAAGTCAAAGAGTGGAAATGATACCATTTGGGTCGTGGTGGATAGACTTACCAAATCCGCAGTGTTCATACCAATGAAGGAAACCTGGAAGATGGAGTAACTTGCACTACAAGAAAAGCTATTTTCTGCAACTTGCACTACAAGAAAAGCTTACATCAAGAATGTTGTGAGGTTACATGGAGGTCCAAAATTTATTGTGTGTGATAGAGATTCTAGGTTTCTTTCAAAGTTCTGGAAGAGCGTTCAGGAAAAATTTGGTACAACACTAAAGATGAGTACAACACTTCACCCTGCCACAGATGGACTAACTGAAAGAACTATTCAAACCTTGAAAGATATGCTAAGAGCTTGTGTTATAGACTTCCAAGGGGGATGGGAAGATAGCTTGGACTTAATTGAACTTTCTTATAATAATAGTTACCATGTGAGCATAGGCATGGCTCCATTTGAGGCATTATATGGAAGGAAGTGTCATAGCCAGTATGTTCGAACGACATAAGTGAAACAATGATCTTAGGGCCTCAAATGATTGAAGATACAGTCAAGAAATTGAAGGAGATTCAAGCTAAGATTCAAGCAGCATAGGACTGTCAAAAGAGTTATGCAGATTTGAAGTGTAGGGAAGAAGAGTTTGAAGTTGGTGACAAAGTGTTGTTGAAAGTATCACCGATGAAAGGTATCATGAGATTTGGGAATAAAGGAAAAGTTAACCCAAAGTACATTGGCCCATATGAGATATTACAAAGGATAGGCAAAGTAGTTTATAGGTTGGTCTTACCTATGGAGTTAAGTAAGGTGCATGATGTATTTCATGTGTCTCAGTTAAGAAGGTATATACCTAAAAAGTCACATGTGCTACAATCAGAAACAATTGAGTTAGATCAAAGCTTAATTTATGAGGAAAGACTTGTCAAGATCCTTGACAGTAAAGTGCGTAATACACGCAATAAGGAAGTTAAGATTGTTAAGGTGCTATGGTCTAGCCAAGAAATGGTCTAACCAAGAATATGAGGAAGTAACTTAGGAAGCTGAGGATGAGATGAAAAATAAATACCTTGAGTTATTTCGGGTATGTTGAGTTACGGGGACGTAACTCGTTTTCTTTAAGGGGGGTAGACTACGGTAGAATTTTGCGCTTTTTTCCTATATTTTCAGTTATTTTAGTGGTTTTTGCACATTTTTAACGGTTATTTCGAGTACTTTTGGTTTCAAGGAGACATTAAAGGTAAAAGTATTTCAAAAGAGTACATTAATATTATACAAATTGAGGAAAAAGGAATTCAAAAGTTGGTATTTCTTTACTCATTTGAGTATGAATTTTGATTTTTCGTTACCTAAGTTTCGAGACGAAACTTCTTTTAAGGGGGGTAGACTGTAATACCCCGCATTTTTATACGTATATTAATTTAATACATTATTTAATTTTATGAAGTATTTAAATAATTCGAAATGAATTATTTGGGGTATTTTAATAATTTAAAAATATTTATTTTAATTAAAAAATCATTTTTATTTATTTATTTGTTTTGGAAATATTTTACTTCATTATTTAGAAATTTTGGGACATATTTAATTTATAAAAGGAAGTTTTAAAGTAAATGGAGTTTTAAAGAAAGTCAAATGCCAATTTGAATGGGAATAGGAATCATTAAGGGTGAAAAGGGAAATTAAGTTAGGAGGGTTTGAGAGAGTGTATAAATACCCATCTTATGAGCAAATTAAACTTTGCCCAAGGTGGAGAATACCCAAAATTAAACTCTCTTTCTCTCTTCTCTTATTTTTCTTTCCCCTTAATTTTTCCCCTCCCCTTTACTCACCTCACACGCACAGCACACACCACCACCACCGGTCGGTAGCTAGCTACCACCACCACCACCAGTCGGTAGCTAGCTACCACCACCACCACTTGAAAATTGAATTCAAGACTATCCGAGATATCTATGCTTTCCTAACCAATTTTTCCATTTTTTTTTTTTGTGTTTTTTTTTTTTTTTTTTTTTTTTGTGAAATCATCACCACGGTCTAGAGACAATATGTAGTTTGTTGAAAATAAACGATCCAAATTGAAATCTATTAATTTAGTGATGCTGTATCACGATAGAAGCATGAGAAGTTGAGAACACATCCTTTAACTCAATGAAGAATGTTCCCCTTATATTGTGCATGCCTATCTTGACCAAAAATAAAAAAAAAAAGTAAAAAAAATCTACTTCGTATATAAGTGTGCCATTAATTATATAATAGAAGAAAATTAAATTACTATTTTAAGTGGATCATTTAAATTTGGTCATAAGAAAAATTCTTTATTGGCATTTCTATTTTATAGGGGACTTTTTTTTTTAGAAGGGGACTATTTTTTTTTTTTTTGGGTAGCTTATTAGGGGATTGAGTTTTTTTAACCAAGGGACTATCTTTTTAACTCACTCATGGTTGCTATTTGCCCAAAAACTAAACTTGAGGTCCCAAAAGGTTAAACAAAAAACTAGAATGTCCCAAAAGGTGAATTAATGAAAAAGATAGACCCCAATCTTATACTTAACTCTACATTAGACCTGGCAAATGGGTCGTTTGGGACGGGTATGGGTCAGGTCATTTTGGGTTGGGTCAAATTCGGATCAACAAATATTCGGGTCGGTTTGGGTTGGGTCAGGTCGTTTCGGGTTTCGGGTCTAGTTCGGGCCAACATTTCGGGTCGCCTTTGGGTTGAGTCAAGTTCGGGTCGAGTCAATCTTCGGGTCCATATATCAGGTCAAGGTCGGGTCAAGAAAGGGTCAGGTCATTTCGGGTCGATACTTTGGGTCAAGCTTTATTAGTAGACTTATTTTTATACGAAATAATTATTTTTTATTTTACAGAAAATATAGTTGTTAGTGTTAATATCAATGTAGGGTTTTTTTTTTTAATTTTTACGCACTAATATGATATAAAAAAAAATTATTTTTAGAGACACAATATAAGCATTTATAAGTATATCACATATTATTCTAAAAAAAAATTACTTGGATCAATCTAGATGCCCGAATAAACGGACTAGATTCGGATCCTAAGATGTGAGTCGGATTCGGACTCAGGTCAATCGGATTCGGATCTGAATTTGGACCCGAGTCCACGATCTGAATATTAAACGGATCGGATTCGGATTTAGCCACATCCGACCCGAATCTGATTCGTTGTCATCTTAATTGCGGTTATTTTCTATTTGGGATTGCTTGGGTCAAGTATTTGGTTTAAATTGGTTTGGGTCATTTCAAGTATAAGGTACTATTAGTTCGGGTCACTTCAGATTTCGGGTCTGTTTGGGTCGATTAATTCAAGTTAAATTCAGGTCGGGTCACTTCGGGTATCGGGTCAACTTCGGATCGGATCAACTTCGGGTAAGATCATTTCAGGTCGGGCTACTTCGGGTGGGGTCAACTTTGGGTTTCAGGTCAAAGTCGGGTATGGGTTGGATCAGGTATGGGTTAGGTCGGGTTGATTTTATTCTCGGGTCACTGTTTTCAGGTTGATTTCGGGTCATGGTCCGGTCATTCGGGTCGGGTTAGGGTTAGGATTGCCACGTCTACTCTACAATACTTGGAAAACGGGTCATTCAGGTCGAGTCAATTCAGGTCGGGTTAAGTTTGGGTCAGCAAATATTCGGGTCGGGTTAATTCGGATTTCGGGTCAAATTCGAGTTAGCACTTTGGGTTAAGTTCAAGTCGGGTCGTGTCAGTTCGGGTCGAGTCAATTTAGGTCGGGTAAATTTTTATGACCAATTTTCGGGTCAAGTCAATTCGGGTCGGATCAGTTCAGATCGGGTCAAGTTTGGGCCAGGTCACCAAAATTCACTTACAAAAATAGTTGGAAAAATTAAGTAAAATCGTTAAAAAAAAAAATAAAAAAATCGTGAGTACCTATTACTTAGAAGAAAGAAACCCTATAATAAGTAATTCACCATTTCACCCTATTCATTTACGGTATCGAGTCACTTTGGGTCGGGTTAATTCGGGTCGGATCAATCAATTTAGGTTAATATCGGGCCGGGTCACTTTGGATTTCATGTCACTTCGGGTCAGGTCACTTTGAGTTTTAGGTTAATTTCGGGTCGGGTCATTTCGAGCATTGGGTCACGTTTGGATCAACTCCACTTTGGGTTGGGTTCGAGTTAGTTCAAGCTCGGGTCATTTTCGAGTTAATGATTTCGTGTCAACTTTCAGATCACAGATCAGGTCATTTGAGTCGGGTCAGGATTGTCAGGTCTACTCTACATTGGCCTGTGTTTCCTTCAAAGAAAATTACATTGGGTGTTTTACAGTCCACGTGTAGAGGTCCTAGTATTCAGATTCACATTTTTCATTCTATTCAAGAGAGAAGAAAAAAAAACCATTCGTGGGTTCATAAAAATCCGGCAAGTCGAATTAGAAAAACAAAACAATTGTCGTCAATTTCGAAAATCACCATGAAAGCTCTTCAAGCTTCAACTTCTTACAGCTTTTTCAGTATTCCTTCTTCCCAAATCCTCCGAACACGAACAACTCGTCCACAATGTGTCATTCTTTCAAAAGGTAGTACTTCGTATTCATCATCAATCCTCTTCCTGATTCAATTGAATTTTGCTATTTTGATTTTTATAGTTAAATTTACAATTAAAATTATTTGAATTGATTTATAATTGTCGCTAATTAGGTAAAGATTTTGGATTGTATAGATTAAGAAAATAATCATATGAACCTATAGCTTGATGTTCTGCTGCATTTTTATATATTAAATCACAATCATTTATTTTTTGTTGTTGATTGTTTTATGATTTCTAATGTAAAATTGATAAATCATGATTAAATATGTGGAGAGCATATTTTGATTAGTTGAAATTGGGTCTAATATGTAGAGGAGTGCTAATTTCTACAAAATTTCTTTCATCTATATATTTTCATAAATTTTAATTTTGAGATATAGGATGTTTAGAAGTTTATATTTAAATGGTACTTTACTTAGTTGGAAGGTTGCAATTATGGTGTTTAATGTTCACATTGTTCTAGGATGAGCCGTGTATATAATTGCTACCCACTATCTAGGAAGTTTCATTGACCTAATTCATTAAAGTCTTGTGATTTTATATCCTCAATATCCTTGTTGAGTATAGTTTTTCGGAGTTTCCGTCTTGTAAATGTAGATTTTCAGTTGCATACTACCCATTATTGTCTAGTTCTTCAACAAATCAACCACTATTGCCTATTCTCTTCTGGTTATTTTTTTTAGCTTGCAGACTCAACAAACAACTCTATTTTGATATTTGGTTGGGTAAATCTTGAATTTTCTTTGTCAATCAAGTTGAAATTACTTGCATGAATCAAATCTTAAGTGACAAGATTATTGGGATATCTATGTAACTGAAATGGAGGCCACTTTTGGGTGGATTGTTCACACATTCAACCATTTAAGCCAAAATTTTTATTTTAAATGTCTACCTATTAGGAAAGTTCAGCTAACTCTTTTTTTTTTTTTTTTTTCTTTTTTCTTTTTTATTCCAACCCTCTTGATGGGATAGGGAAAGGAAGAAAATTACTACATTTGCTTATCCATTTTTCAACAACGGCCAACTTACAAAATCACTAAATAATTGTTAAAAACATAGATGGAAAGGGTGGACAACTGGAGACTTGTAGAACAGAAAAATGAAGATCTCGGAGCTCTCCAAAAGAATTTCTTGATGTATCTCTCACTCTCTCATTCTCTAAAAGGAGTTTGTGAAAAGAAACCTTATTAACTCTCCCTCTTCCTTTCAAAATTGATTGATTGGTAAAAACATGAAATCATTTGGACATCTATGTAAAACTAACTTGGGTGGTGGTTAATAAAGGAAGTTGAGGACATTCAATAATAGATTTTCCCATGTATAGATTAACATTGTAAAACTATGAACTTCTATTATTGTGGTGGATAACAAGTTGATCTACAATTGTTCTTCATCGTGGGACTAGTTAGCTAGAGAAATACTTTGCTACACTGCTTACACACATCATTTGTCACTTGTGTTATGTAAAGTCAAAATTTTAGAGTGGTTGACTTTTAAACTTGTAGTACACATTAGTTTTGAGATATATAGGACCAATGGACCATTATTAGTAATGTGCTTGTATTTTAAGCATCTTGAATTGGAATATAGATCCATTTCCTTGTTATTTCACTTATATATTCTTCTCTTATCTCCTTTTAGTTGAATAATAAGAAGTATAATGTAACAATCATGTTATAATCTGTTATAAAAATGACCAGCTAGGCTTTAAAAAGAATTTTTGGATATGCTAGCAGACCCTTAGTCAACACAGTCATATGGGTTTATTGAACTTATTTTATTGTAGTTTCTTAAATTACAAAGTACTCATACTTTGTTGTCGATACAACTGATCAAGACTAATATGTAGCTGATGATAGGCTGATATATCTTTTATAACCATTATATAATTCATATGAGATGAATTACTATCCTTTATGCAATACCTCTCTGTGATTGTGGCTACAGTTGCAATTCGTAACCCTGCTATCGAGATTCCACAAGATTATGCTTAAAGATTTCTTGTACTATTGATTAATTTCTTGATATGTTTCTTTCATAAGCATGCATCATCTGATTGATTCTAACACATCCACTTGTTCTCCAGTGGAACCTTCAGACCAGTCTGTTGAAATAATGCGGAAATTCTCTGAGCAATATGCTCGGAAGTCAGGAACATATTTTTGCGTTGATAAAGGTGTCACATCTGTTGTTATCAAGGTATTTTTATTTTTATTATTATTTTTTGTTTCTTTCTGGCTATGTGATTGCCTTATTGTGACACATCCATTCGGCTATGTTGATATTTAGTGATGATTCCCCCAGCCCTTTTTCTTTCTCTTAAAATTATTCTCTTTAGGATGTCCTTACATGTGTGAAAAAAATGTGATTATATTACAGAAGAGCATTCAGAGTACTACAATCTAATTGGGAAATTTGTTGGAAGTTAAAAAAATAAAAAATTGGTGCAACAGATCTTTAAGATATAGTTTTTCTTGTATTATAAAGATTAATAGTAGATAGGAAGAATAATTATTATTAAATACTTTAATTTGCTCATACAGTATGTCTGATGAGATAAACTATCTTAAGGTGAGTTGTTTTCAACTTCATTTCTGCTGTAAACATAGTTGAAGTTGAACTAAACTTAGTTTGTTTCACAGAACTTAGTTGAATTTTACTGAGATTTTCTTGAAACTCAAGGTATATAAATTTTTCAATAAACTAAAGTTATCTGAACTTAACTTAATGTTATTTTAGTTTAAAATTCTATGAACTTAATTGAAGATATAAAATAATTTGTTGTTTGACAGAATGCACTCTTGACAACTATGGGCTATAGTTCTTTAGATTTCCATTGCCAGCCCATTATGTAAAGGTTTTAATTTGGAGTATGACAGGGATTAGCAGAGCACAAAGATGCACTAGGTGCTCCACTTTGCCCTTGCAGGTAAGCAATATTTTGGTCTTTTTTGAATGCAACACCTTTTATTGTAGATGTTTTGATGATTTAACATTGAATAGTATTCTAACATTCTTCAGATATTATGATGACAAGGCAGCTGAAGCTAGTCAGGGGTTTTGGAACTGTCCGTGTGTGCCCATGAGGGAAAGGTATGGGTCGCTTCCTAGTTCCTACCATAATCTGTAAATTATCAATATATATGCAATGTAACTTGAGAGCTGTTCATTACATTAAATACAAGCCAATTGTTTTGGAACTTATGAAACCTTAATGCAATTACCTTCTAACTAAATTTTTATTGGATGAAAGATCTTGAGTTATGTCTTTTGTGGTTGGTCTCTTCTGGAATATGGGAAATTACATTGTCTTCATCTTGTATCTATATTGCTTTTAGTATCTATAATTGATGTTCTGAGCTGATGTCGCCATGTGAGGACATTAACTGATGTATTTGCAAACCTAGGACAAGTGTTAAGGATGTTATTAGATTCTCTAGCAGAGGATTTTGACTTTTGAAGCAGTTAAATGATCCAAACCTCTTCCTATTGCCTTTATGTTTTGAGATTTTTGCAAAGTGGTAGCTATTGAGTTAGTGAGGCAGCAATTGAGATGCGTGATAACATCTATTCCCTTCATATTCTGGTAAATGACTCAGTCTTTATGAACTTGTTGAAACTACAGCTGTCTATTAAGGACCTGTCTCTATCTGCCAATGAAACTTTTCCCTCAATCTGTCTAGTGTTCTTTCTCTCTCTCATTTAGCTTTTAGTTTTCGACTCTCTAATTTCTACTGTAATTTTCTTGGAGGTAGTTAAGGATTCAAACTTATTCAGATTACTTATTAATTTTCATGAGTTCTGTAATCAGTAGCAGTTTGTATTTTTTTTTTCTGCCTTTTGAGTCTAGTGACTGAGATGCGCAATTACTGTATGTTACCTTTATCCTTTGGTATTTGGCACAGTTTTAATGAACTCGTTTAATTTAGGACGATGTCAGGAATTTGGTGTAATCCCTCCCTCCAAAAAAAAAAAAAAAAAAACTGTCTTGTTATCCTGATAAATTACAAAGTATGATGCTACCTCTGCTATACATTTCTGAGATCACCTTTTACTCACTTTGAACGGGAGCGACAAGTGCTCTGTACTTTCAGCACATTCCACTCTTTTTCATATCCTTGGTCTTCTTATTGAGTTAACTTCACTCAATGTATACTCCGCTAATCACTCATAATTACATTATTCAGTCACACTTCCACTCGTTTTCAATCTAACCTTCAAGAAAGTTCAAGAAAATTTTATAGAACGAATTTTTTTTTGTCAAGAACCCATAAAAATTCTCATCAATTTGGTATGGCTGTTGCTAGTGCTGTTTGGCAAGGGAAAATGTTCTGTCTTTGAAGGTTCGTGCAAAATTTGGTAGAAATCGTGCCTAAAAGCCTAAAACAATTTTGTAAGTCAAATTACTTGGCTTCGTTCTCCTTCATTACTAAAGCTTATGAGGTGATTCTTTTTTCAAATTGGATAACTTTGTCTCGTTTTCGCCTGCAAAATTTTTTAATTTATTAACTTGTGGAGTTGATTGATGTTAATTTTATGGGTTCTTGACAAAACGATTCGTTTTTTAAGTTTTCTTGAACTTTTTTGGAATTTAAATTGAAAACGAGTGGATTTGTAATGATTAGTGGACTGTTCTTGTGACTTTACATTTGGGATATGGAGCTTATTATTTGTAACGAAGGATAACAAACAACTAATTGTCTCTTCCGACGATTAGTTATGCCTTCTCGTGAATAGTTAATCAATTCACAAAAATAAATGTTTATCAATTTGAAATTGAATTTTATTAAAGAAATCAACCCAATTTAAATTAGGATTAACAAACTATCCTAATTAATCTAGAAATCCTAATTAGTATCTTAAACAAGATAAATATTAGATTTTTCTAAATTAATTCCTAAACCCACGTATAACCTAAACACAAAATTTCATGAGGCAGCCACATTTTTTTTTGAAAGAATGGTCAAGGTTACTTGGTCAGGGGTTACTCGGTCAGTTATGGTAGTAGGGGGCTTACACGGTCGGTCAAGGGCTACTCGGTCGGTCAGGGGCTACTCAGTTTGGAGTTACTTGGTTAGGGTTACTCGGTCAGGTGTTACTCGATTGGTCAGGGGCTACTCAGTCATGGGTTACTTGGTCAAAGGTTACCTAATAGGTGTTACTCGGTCGGTTAGGGGTTACTTGGTCAGGGGTTACTCGTGTGTTAGTTGGCCACACAGTGTGCACTTTTATTTAAGGAAATAAATTCCTAATTCTATTATCTATGTGTAACTTTTGGATTGATGCCACTCAATCTCACGGAAAAATAGGTGATTGAACAGAATTTAAAGAAAGCAATTAAATCTTCAATCTTGAGGCTCTTGATTCCTATCAACCCCGAAAACTCACTTCGTGTCACCCAAAACCCACCCGTAAAACCACCACAACCATCGAAATCCTAACCCTAGATTTCGGTGGAGTCTAGATGAGGAAAAAGAGAGGGGTTGGAGTGGAGGAGAGAAAAAGTGGTGGTGCTTGTTGGAGAAGAAATTGAGGCGGCGATGGTAGACTTGCTGCTTGGGAGTAGTGATGGAGAACAATAGAGTGGTCATTAATTAAATAATTTAGATGTAGGTTAAGAGTCATTAAGATTAAATAATGAACCACAAAAGCATGGGTTAGCTCGTTTGAGGATAATTAGTCTACTTAGACTTAATCAATTCTAGGGGTTCACTAAAAAAAAAAAAAAAAAAAAAAAAAAAATCCACCGAATAGAAATTCCGAATATAGAAGGCCTCCTTGCCAAAATAGCTCTTTTGTTCCTTGTCTCGGTTGCAATTTTGGGAATTATTATTAAATTTAGCTCTAGACATAATCCTAGTTTAAGAGGTTTTTTAATGAGTTCCTCACACATATATCATCCATTTTATATGTCATGGAGCTATGCATGTCTAGGTAAATTGCAACTACATTTCACAAGAAACTTATTTTTATTAAATTTTATTTCTAGATAGAATCCTTGCATTAGAGGTTCTTTGATGAGTTCTTCACATATATATCATCCATCTTTATTATGTCATGGAGCTATGCATGTCTATAGGTAAGTTGCAACTATATTTCACAGGATACCCCTAATTGTTTGCCCCAAACCAAAAAATCACTTTATTAAGGCTTGGGCAAAAAATGGTGCACATTGGTTGACACAAATATCAATGAGGAGAGAGATAGAGAGAGTGCAAGTGGAAAAACATGCCGAAAGTAGTATGGTGCAATCTTTTTGGGACACCTAAAAAAGGCAAGTGGAGCAAACAATTGGGAACAGAGGGAGTAGTCGCAAGATAGTAGTTAAGAGAAGGTTGCTTTTTTTCTAATGAAGATCCTTTACTCTTTTAATGCTCCATCTTGTGCACATTATCTCTTATATTTCCACATCACCTTCATCTGGATGTTCTTAGACTTTTCATGTCTCTTCTGTAGTATGGGCACTTGACACGTCATTTTACACTGGAAATGTTACGAAATATTTTTATTATTTTAATATGCAGCCAAGTCTGATACTTGACACTTGATGCTTCACACGTTTGCGACTATGTGTGTCTGACATTAGTTTAGAGTTCAAGTGACATAACAATAACTAAAAGTGTTTTTATTGGGAAATTGTACATTTGTACATGATACCCTCTAATGTAACAATCATATGTGGCAGATTAAATCTTTGAAATTTATATATTGACCTGTACTTGGTTATTTCTCGGTGGAATGCTATGAGGTTTGATAGTTAGTTGAACAACTAATTTTAAAATGAAAGGAAACACCCCCCCCCCCAAAAAAAATAAAAAAATAAAATTGTCAATATGGCGGTCAACATCAACGCCTTTTTTTTTCTCATACTACACTATTAAAGGTGTACAAGAATTATCAGGTTGTGAGGAAGAGCCAATACTATGTACATGACAGCTTCTAGACGTTTTGGTTGTTTGTTTAATACGAAGTGGTGCTTACTAACATGATTCAATAAATTTCATTGATTTGCCTCTGGACCATAAACAGACGTTACTGTTCCCATTGCCAAGTTATCTCCAAGAACTTATTTCCAGTTCAAAAACTGGCGCGATATACAATACTAATAATTTAATGAGGTAGGGAACTTGATTTACTCCTAACAAGCAAGTAGGAACCACTAATACTGTACTTTTCTCGAACCTTAAAAACACTGTATAGTATACAACAAGGTAGTGTTTCAATCAGGAATTTCACATTTAACTAGGTTTGCAAGCAGAGGCTAATAAACCAATTTTAAAAACAATACATGGTAGGAGTTTTTTGTATGCATAAGGAACAATTATTACAATAGTTACTGTCTCAGCTTCATTGTTTTTACCCAATTCTGAATTGTTTCTATCATTTGTAAGAAGGTCCAATGCTTTTGCTTTCTGGTGCAACATTATCTTGGTAGAGCCCTATGTTTCTTTCCATTCAAAATAGGATAGGCAGACTGTGATTGATCTTAACTGTATCTTCTTAGAAAGAGTTAGCACTAAAAACTTGCCAGATCACAAGTTCATTGAAGTATACCGAACTCTTAGAGAGAATAGCTGCAAAAGGTGATGCGTAGAACTTCTAATTGCAAACTTATTATGCAATGATCCTGATGTACTTGTGAAGAAAGACCAAAAATATTTTTCATGATTAGTTCACCCTTAAAAATGTGAGAATGATCAACCTTAAAAAATGTGAGACTAATGTAGTCTATGTGAGTTAGGCAAGTTCTCTGGGATTTGTAGAGATTGGTGTAATGCAGATGCAAACATGTGAGTGGTTGGTGGGAGCAATGTATAAAAAAGCTCAAGGTGTGAGCGAGAGGGGTTCTGCTGTGCCTAGGTGCGCCTCTTTGAAGTGAGGCGCACCATATGAACAATTAAAAAATTTTGGCCAAAGTTTGCTTCAGATGCACCTCATGTGCACCTCGCGCCTCGGGTGCGCCCCGTGTGCCTAACCACAAACGCCTCCGCCCAGACCAAGTTAAGCTCTTACCCCTTATTGTTTTGCTTAGGCGCACTTTTTCTAACACTGGTGGGAGATCGAGTGGCAGTGGAAGAGGTAGAGGCAAGGGATATTGAGAAGAGTGAGTTGAGTCTTTCCATGCTTGTGTAATTTTACTATCCCAGGCTTTCAAGATGTAGGCAATAAAATTTGGCACATTGGGGTCCACTTTCTTGTCAATTCCCGTGCAATTAGCTAGTTTGATCCTCGTGAGAATATAGGAATTTTGCCAATTCTTAAGTAATTCAGCGCTGTACTAGAAGCAGAGTTGCTTTCCTCTATGCCCAGTGTATTTCATATTATGCTGTCGATACTGACGGTGATGCAATGTGATATAACCATCAAGTGGTAACCCCTTCATTGTAGATTTTTTAGCCCATATACATGGAATTCTGAAAAGAAAACAAAAAAAATCCAAAACTTATGTTAATGTCTGTAAATTATTGTGCTCATTGTTGGTTACTTGCAAGTTTGTTTGGACCAAAAGATCCAAGTTCTGACCCTGGTTAGAAGCTGGCTTGATGTTTTATATGCTTACTGTTGAAATGATCACGCATTGCAACAAAGATGTACTTAAGGTTGTGTTATCATTATGTGGTTATTGATAAAGGGAGTTGGATTCAGGAGACTTTTAACTATTTGTCACTGGATATTGTGTCACTGAAGAGAAGTACTATCAAACTAAACATTTTCACTTTGATGTGCTCATTGTATGTGCACAATATAATGTAACTCTGTTACTGCAGAATAGTATTGCACTATTATTGCTATCACAACTGGCATCATGGTCATGGTGGTAGTCTTGATGATTTTACTTGCTGCTTAGATTATGGATCCTTCATGCATCTCTATGTTCAGTGATCATCCGTTTATTCAGGATGACACATAAATTTGAGAAAAGTTGTCACTCTTTATTTTTTCATAAACTAGTTATGGTTTTTGATTTAATACCTTAATTGCCCTTAAAGGCCTTAATGTTGGCTGCGGGATATCAAGTCAAGCAACTGTTCTTTTTAGATGCAAACACAACTGTTCGAGGGTATTTTTGTTAAGTCATGTCATGTCATTAATTGAATAAGTTTAGGAGATTTTGAGAACTAATCAATTCTGAGGTATTATATTTTTTTTAAGCTCAAGTTCAATTTATTGTCCATGTATTGATGAAACATATATTGAATCGACAGGAAGGAGTGCCACTGCATGCTTTTCTTGACCCCAGAGAATGATTTTGCAGGCAAGGATCAGGTAACTTCCACTTGATATTATTGAGACATATTATCATCATTGCATTTTATCTCTTCCGTATAGTTCCCAGGATATTTAACCGTCACTGCAATTTAACCACAAATTTCTCGCAGACTATTGGCTTGGATGAGATACGGGAAGTAACTGCAAACATTTAACATAATGACCTACTCGTTACAGAATTGTTTGGGAACTTGCAATCAGCCTGTACATTTTGTATTTTTACAAGGAAGCTGGGTTAGTGTTGTACTGTCTGCTCACCCATCAATGAACTTAATTTGTGTTTTGGATAGACGAGTATAGTTGATATATTGCTGTGACAATAAGCAATCGTTGCCTTTTTCTTATATTTTGTTTGTAATTAGGCCGATTTGCTCATCTGTAAGCTTATTTTTTTCATTGCAATGCTATATACAGAGCATCATTGAGTTGTAGAAGAGCAAGGCACCCTGTTATATCTTTGTATTCCTGCACCCGTGTTAGTCGTGTATACTGATCAGACTTTAAAAGAGATTTTTTTGGAGAAAAGAAAGGGGAATCGAAGGGATCTTTATCCCATCTTGATTAAACATACCAAATCTTTGCATTTCGTGTCGTAAGCTACTATTTTCTCCCCGTTCCTCCCCGCCCCCCTCCACAATTTAGTATCCAGAAATAAAGTAAAAATAATTCACATCCTTTGAAATTTACCAGGTAGTGCTCCCTCTCTCTTTCCTCTGAATATGGTAGCTTCTATCCTTGTTAGGTTTAAGGGGTTGTAACCAAAAGAAGAATTAGAACAGATGACATAAACAGAAATTGAATCCAATCTTCGATCCCAACTTTTTGCATATATGTCATTCGTATGGATCTGTTCATATTAGCAACAAATCTTATCGTCTACTACTTGCTACTCGTATATTATATAATCCATTGGCATAAAAAATACCAAGTTGTTTACTTGTGGTACATACAAATTGGGGCATGGGAATTCACATGGAAAATTAGGCACTACTTCCCTGTAAGTAATCAATTACAGACTACCAAATAGAAAAAACATATTTGTTAACTGTAACAAAGCAATCCCATTAAATCATTTAAAAATTACATCAACAAGCTTCAACCGAGCGCGAATTGCTTGTAGAGGAAAGCTGCCCACGATTATTATTAGCACAATCTTTTCCGTTTCTTGCAGCAAAAGCAGCCAAAAACTTGTTTCCTGAGCTACCATTATCAGAAAGCGCTGCAACGGACGAATTCCCTCTCCTGCAGGCATGATCTGCAGGGAGCCTATGCTTGAGGCAAACCTTAAGGTTGCAGCATTTACAAACTGTTGCATTAGAGAAGGTCAAATTCTCCCTGCAACGTTTAACTGGACATCGCGGCTTCTTCTTCTTTGAAGGGTCACATTCTTTTGACTTTTCGTGTTTTTCCTTCATAGCTGCTTCCTCTTCACAAGATAGACCCGTGGTTTCCATTGATTTTGAGCATATTTCACACACAATCACCTTCCTGCTTTTGTCGTCCGATTTCGGGCAATCATGTGACTTGTATGTTCTGTGTTCTACGCAGAAAACCTGCAATAATAGAATGGCTCATAATTTAGAATTACTCAAACCTTTTTTTTAGAAAACCTGCAATAATAACCCGCAAATATTGATACTGTACTTTATAATAGAATGGCTCATAATTTAGAATATATAATGGAGGAAGTATAAACATCCAACGAATATTGATACTGTACTTTATAATCCGCAATAGATAAGTAATATTAAATAGATTTTCAAACATACCCTCATCTTATGACAACGGGATTTTTAAAAGTTGTACCTTTTGGCAACGATTGCAGCCGAAGGGGAGAAAATCAAGCTGATGACAATCCGTGTATTGACAATGTCGTCCTAAATCTGGAAAACCTTCTGTTCCTCCTCCCATCTCAACCCCCTTGTTTGTTTTACAGAATAAGAAAATTATGTTGAAAATCGAAAGTTAAAACGTATGAAATTGGTGTGTTTATTGGAAAGGAAGCTTGAATTTATTATTTATAAGTTGCTTGTAGCTTGAAGAACAAGATAGATGCCCAAAAGAAGAATCGTGAATTTAGACTCTATACGACTTATGATGTCAGGGAACACGTTTTTCCTTTTTTTGTTTTTTTTTTTGTGTTTGAAAGAAATTTTTTCTAATGTGTTTGAGTTTAACCAAACCTTAATAGAGTAGGAGTCGACCGGGTGTTGATAGAGTATAGCCATTCATTGTCCAAGTTAATAGTCGTCATCTAATTTGGGCTGACTTTATTTATCTTCTAGAAAAATATTTTATATTTATCACAATGACAAACTTGTAATCACCGTCGGAGTTAAAATTCTTAAGTTGGAGGACAATTATGGATTTTTATTAATCCGAAAAAAAGTCTCAAAGAAAAAAATATTGATCATACAAACTGTTTAATTTGAAATCGCATAGTATACTTATTTCTATATGGCAAAAGAGGACCATAGGAGTTGTAAAAGTTACATCACATGTTAAGAAAATTATCCAGCAAAGTTCGTTTATAAAACCATCTTTAATGGTGAGACTCAACTTTGAGAATTAAAATACAAAATGAGTTGTTTTTCATACCCAATGGTAATACTCAACTCACTTCTCAATTTTACAACTCATGTAATATATAATTGATTTCCAATTATGAGACTCTCTTAAGTATACTAATGTCATTTTCCACTATACCCTACTACATCCAATTAAATAAAAATTTATAAGTTTTTACAAAAACATTAAAATTTAAATCAATGAACCAGTATAAATTTGATAAGGGTTCACTTTTTTTGTCAATTGAGACTAGAGATGGCAATGGGACCCTACCCAAGCCAGACCCTATCGGACCCTACCCTAAAATACGAGCATAGGTATTATTTTCTTAGACCCTATGGGTACAGGTAAGGTATGGGTCTAGGTGGCATCGGGTAGTGTAAGGGTCCGGGTATGATGTTTTCAGATCCAGACCCTACCCACGGACCCTTAATACTCATACCCTGCCCGGACCCGTACATAGACCTGCATAATATATTAACTTAAACAAAATTTCAAAGTCAAATAGAAAAAAATCTTAAGGATATTGATATTTTAGGATGTTAATGATGAAATCAAGTATGATACGAAAGACTATTATAAATAGTAGGCTATTAACTTTCTAGTTGTGCACTTAATTTTTACAAAACTTAATGTATAATGTTCTTATGGATAATAATTATAATTTGTTTATCTATCATTCTAATATTTTTTTTTTATTTAATTGTTTTACGATACGTCAAATTAATCGGTCATGTTCTTATATATTAGTTTATTTGTTTTTTGCACAATACATGCAATCGTACAATGAAGAATAGAGGATTAAATTAAAATTTGGGAAAATAAGGTTAGTAAAGGATCCATATTGGACCCTGGACCCTACCTAGACCTTGTTAGACCCATAAGGTATAGGTAAGGGTCTTAAAATTTTAGACCCTAAGGGGGTGTTTGGTATGTGGGGATTGGGGCTTGGGAATGGGAATTGAGGAGGTGGGAATATATATTTCCTTGTTTGTTTTGTGGGAAGGGGAATTGAAGGTGGGATTGAGAATGAGAATAAAATTGCTCTATTTCCATGATTTTATTACCTAGGGGTAATAGAGATGAAAATTGGGAATAAAGAGGAAAAGATCATTTTGCCATTAATGAAAGCATAAGGATATAACATTAATAAGGGTGTTATTGTAAATTTGCTATTTTATTCCCAATCGAATCCCTTCACAACCCAAACAAGGGATTGTCAATATTTTATTAAATTCCCAACCATAAATTCCAATCGCATCTCCACTCTAATCCCTAAATTTCCATTTCCACTTACCAAACGCCCCGTAAGGATCCGAATAGGGTATGGGTATGGATTGAAAATTCCGAGTACGAGATGGGCACCAATAGACCCGACCCATTGCCATCCTAATTGAGACTCAAAGTTGAGTATCTAAACTTAGCAACTTTTTTTTTCGGGTATCTAAGTTTAGATACCAACTTATTGATATCCCTTACAAAAAATACTCTCTTTTTCCTACAATATAAAAAAAAATTCCAATGAGTCTCACCATTGGAGATGTCTAAGTTGTAATCCTAATTTCAGGAATCCAAATTATATAATCCACTAATTGATGAATTAGAACCAATTATCATATAACTAATATATAAAGCTAAACTTTTAGAAAAATAATAGCGTGGGGATCAAAAGGGTAATTTTATAATATAAAATATAGTTAATGGTGATATATTTAATTGTTAGTAGAAAAGAGAAAGAAAAAAAAAAGAGTAGTGAAAAGGAGAGAGAAATAATAAAAAAATTTGTGAAAGTGGGGTGTGGGGTTGGTAGAAGTGAGAATTAATAAAATAATGGTGGGTCCTTATTAAATACTTCCTCTGTTCCACAATATTACAACAAGGATGAAATTACGCATTCCAAAACACATTTTATATGCTAAATATCTAAAATTATATAAGAGTAAAAATTAAAAAAAAGTTGATATTGTGAAAGTATTTTACGTGATGAATCTAACAAGACCCCACATAACTATATTTTTACTTTACGTATAAATCATAATATATGGTCAAACAAGCGTGATGAATAATGTAAAAGTCTAGTTGTTGCAATATTACTAGAACGGAGGAAGTAAGAAAGTATTGCAAATTGCAATTATTATAAAACGGATATTCCTACCTTATAAAAAGTACTCCCTCTGTTAAATATTATCTGCAACTTTTGCCATTTTTGTTAGATCAGGGTTATGTGCAACTATATGTTTTCTTTCCATTTTTAGTAAACAAAAACCCTTAAAATGACATTTTTACCCTTACTTAAAAATTCTGATTTTCTTAATTTTGCCCTTAACTTAATTTAACCACATTAACCTAAAACTAATCAGATTTCCCTAATTTAATTAATCCTTCCATTCACTCCCAATCGCAACCACCAAAAATTAATGTGATGGTTGATATTCCTTCAGATTCTTCCTGATGAACCTTCATGTTCATCCATTCATCATCTTCTTCGTCTCTTCATCTTCTCCAATTCATCCTTCATAACAATTCCTCTCTCCTCTTCGTCCTTCATCTTCTCTAGTTCCTCTCTCCTCATCATCCTCTTCATCTTCCTCTCTCCTCTTCGTCCTTCATCTTCTCCAATTCATCATCCTCTTCGTCTTCCTCTCTCTTCTTCGTCCTTCACTCTCCAAATCGGGACTTTAAACAGCAGATCTGGATTTTCTGAGTTTTGATTTCATTTTTCGAGTTTTGATTTCGTCTTCCTCTCTCCTCTTCGTCGATTTTCTGAGTTTTGATTTCAATTTTATGGGTTTTGATTTCAATTTTCTGGGTTTTGATTTTCAAGGTTTTGATTTCGAATTTCTGGGTTTTGATTTCGAATTTTATGGGTTTTTATTTTCAAGATTTCGATTTCCGTGGGGGTGGTAGTGGTGGTGGTTTCGTGGGGGTCGTAGTGGTGGTGGTTTCATGGGGGTGGTCTGAGTTAGGGTTGGGTCTTGGTGGCGTGGGTGGTGTGGTGGTCTGGGTTAGAGGTGGGTCTTGGTGGCGTGGGTGGTGGGGTGGTCTGGGTTAGAGGTGGGTCTAGGTGGTGGGGTGGTCTGGGTTAGAGGTGGGTTTGGGTGGTGGGGTGGTCTGGGTTGGAGGTGGGTCTGGGTGGTGGGGTGGTCTGGGTTGGAGGTGGGTCTGGGTGGTGGGTGTTGTTAAAATAAGGTATCTAAAACAATAGCAACAAAATGAACCCGGAAAAATTAGAAAGGAAATTCGGTGTGGCGTGAATAATCACTGCCTTTAAAAACGAATTCCGGTGCAAGCGGGGTGTTCAATTGTATTCACCGGATCGTTCCCTAAGGTTACACACCACTCTCATGCTAAGACACTTTAGAATGAGAGGTGGAGCCTATGTAAACTTATGCCCAAAGAATATGGAATGTATTTAGCTTAGTGTGTTTAACTCTTGTGTTTTTCTCATAAAAGAATAATCAGAAAATTTCTGACTTCAACATATATAAAAGATAAGAAGGGAGATGAAAGATCAAGGAAGTGAAAAGGTTGGAAAAATCAGAAAAGACAAGTGTTTTAATTAACTTAAAACACCTCTTAAGTGAGGGGTTACAAGAAATTGAAGTAGAAAATAATCCAACGAAAATCAAGAAACTCAACAGCCCGAACTCGCGCCTAGTCGGGCGAGCATCACCAAAAGATTGGCTGCTCTCGCGCCCGGTCGAGCGGAGCTCGCCTGGTCGGGCGAGTTTCCTTCAATTTCTACGCTCCCTCTCGCGCCCGGTCAGGCGATGCTCGCTCGGTCGGGCGACGAAACTAAGAAATTTACGGCTCTTTCTCGCGCCCGGTCGGACGGAGCTTCGCTCGGTCGGGCGAGAATCAGCCAAAACATTTGCTGCTCTCGCGCCCGATTGGGCGGGGCTCGCCCGATCGGGCGCCCGGGATAGACTTTTTGGATTACTTTCTTTACACCAACAATCCGCCACTAAAGGAAGGAAGGAAAAAATCAACAAGAAGAGGACAAACAACATATTGGGCATAAGAGGAGTTTAATACATAACACTTAGATATTACATAAGTAATTTGAAATCTTAGTGCTTAGTTAAATGAGGCAATGAGCTACAAGTACAAGGGTGGTTATGACCTTGAAACCCTTAGACTCTTGATCATGGAGTGGACTAACCTTGAAACTCCAAGACTAACTCAAAAATCCTCACAGCACATACATCACTCAAAATTTACATAGACTCCGCGAAGAGATATTCTCTTTTATAGCCAAGCATATTCACCTTAGGTCTAGTGGAGGCTCTAGAAAACCGGCCAGGTTTTCATAGAAGATGGCTAATCTTCACAACCACATAGGTGAGTCCTTAACTGTGCGTCTCAATAGCACAAGGACCCATTAAGAGTTTGATTAACTCAACCTCACAAATCAACCATGCATTACAAATAACATCACCATAGGAACTAAGAAAAAGTAATGCATCACATGGCCTTAAGTCCTATTCCCCTTGATGATTCTTTAACTTGCTTTCTTGCTAACCCTTTCGTCAAAGGATCCACCAAGTTCTTTTCGGACCTTACATAGTCCAATGCAATGACTCCATTTTTGAGAAATTGCCGTACAACTTTATGTCTCATACGCATATGTCTCTTCTTGCCGTTGTAGTTGTTGTTATTGGAAACTCCAATGGCCGCTTGAGAATCACAATGTATAGACACCGGAGAAGAAGACTTCCCTCACAATGGAATGTCGGCTAGGAGACTCCTAAGCCACTCCGCTTCATGACCTGCCAACTCAAGAGCAATGAATTCAGATTCCATGGTGGAGCGAGCTAAACATG